CTCCACACTTGCACTTCAGGGGGCTTGACTTTGATCCTTGGTGGGGGGAACTAAGATCCTACATGCCAGAAAAGATAAATTGTGAGTTCATAGTGATACTTCCAATTCCAATCTAACATCACAACATTCAAAATTGGAAGGAGCACAAAATTCTGTATTTCCTGACTTGTAACTCTTTTTCCAAGCAACACTTGCTCAAGACAAAGTAGTTTCAGAACTGCTAACCCAGATTCTCATAGGAAAAATATTCATTAACCAGAGCACAGTTTTTGTGAATGGATTTCCCCCCCTCTTTTTAAATTGAGGTAGAATTCACATACTATAAAATTAACCATTTTAAAGTGTGTGTAGACTTCTTGTTTGTCATCTTATACTATGTAGTCAAAAGGCTTACTTTCCAAGTTACCTAGGTTAGTTTCTCTGTGTAGTTATTTTATTCTTTTTTTAAAAATACAGTTGTGTCCATTTGTTATTCTTTGCATTTCATTTTAGTTCAACCCACATCCTGGCTGATTTTGATTCTTTGTTTGTGGATTGTGTGAGGTAGTCTCATGATTCTAAAAAAAAAGGTACACTCAGAGAAGTTTCACTCCCTTTTCATCCCTTCGGCTCATTCCATTCCTCTCTTCTTTCCACTCCATTGACATCCATTCCCTGTAGGGAACCAATCTCATTAGTTTCTGGTTTATTCTTTATATTTATATAGCTATACACCCACCCACCCACACACACACACACACACACACGTGTGTGTGTGTGTGTATTTATATCTTTTCTTGTATCACAGGTGAGCAGACACATAAATGTTTTCTTGTATCTTTTTCTTACATGAAAAGTAGCATTCTATAAACATACCTCTGTGCTTTTTTTTCTCGCTTCATAGTATAGCTTGAAAATCACTCTATATCAGTTCCTAGAGATCTTCCTTATTTATTTGTAGAGCTGCATAGCACTCCTTTGTGTGGATGTGTGCTGCAGTGTATTCAACCACTCTCCCGTGGCACTGAAGTTGTTTTTGATATTTGCAATTATGAACAACGCTGCAATCAATTACTTTGAGGCACTGAGTTTCGTGAGAGGGGTTGGCACAAGATCTGAAGGCAGATGACTCAGCTTCCAGAGCCGCCACTCTGTCTGCGGGGCCACATTGACTCCACAGGCAGCTCAGGCCTGAGATGATGCCCTGGTCACCCTAGTGGGCTGGGGTTTCTCCCTCTCGTCTGCTTCTAGGATGAGCTCCAATAGGCGGGCCCCTGGTTGCTCAGTTCCCCTTTGCTGGCCTATTCCTTTAAGTTGCCTTCTTGGAGGGTCATTATATCTGCACATTTGGGGCCCCCTGCCTGGGTGTTAACCCTCCCTCACAGCCCACAGTCACAGCCACTTTTAAACAATGATACAAAGTTGTTGCGGACAGACCAGAGTATACCTGTGTGCATGTGAGCTCAGCTGTGCCATTATTTGTGGACAACAGGCCTGAAGTGGGCAGAAAAGCCATATCACCATGCATAGGCAGTGAGCCAGGAGCTTTCAATGGGCCAAGAGTGTACTTGAATTTCCTGAGTATGGATGGACTTCTCAAAGCCCCCAGAATTACCTGCTTGAGGAGGACTCTCTCCTGAGCCTGGTGGAGGGCCAGGCTGGGGAGGTGAGTGTAGTGGCTTCCCAGCTACTTTTCAAGATCAACCCAGAGTCTGGAGAGTGGGAGGGAAGAAAAATGGCCCCTGTCACACTGTCTGGCAGCCTGCAGCACCCTCATGATTCCTCTGGTCTGGAGCAGAGCCTTGGGACAGAGGTCAAGATCCCTCCCAAGAGGCTACAGCACTCACTTTGGCTGTGTGAGGAGCGCTTTCTGTCAGGAAACCCTCTGCCCTTTCCTAAGGAAAGGCCATAAGATACAGAATGCCCACATGCGCCAGGCCCTTGAGAAACGATCAGTTATTTAAATGGGATAATAAAACCCTATGAAGGTAAATCTTTTCCTCACCATTTTATGGATGAGGAAAGTGAGACTTGGAGAGGTTTAAGCAACTTGCCCAAGGTTACTGAGTAACAAGCAGAGTCATGATTTGAAACCGGGTCTGTCTGATTCCAGGGCTCTACTTTTTTCCAAAATGAACACAAATCCCACAAAGTATTTATTTGAACTCTAGAGGAAACATTGAGGCTCCTGCAATTGCTTATCAGCAGAAGTCAGATGCTACACGAGAGGACTAGGAAAGTAGGAGACCTGAAAATTGTTGCCGTGAGCAAATTGCTGAACCAACTTCCTTGTTTGAAAAGTAGGACTTGCCCACAGGGCTGTGGGGATGCCGACCTGACAACTGAAGCCAATGGTGTCTGTTCTCCTAGGTCAGTTCCTTTGCCATGATAAGGTTTCCCTGGAGGCTCAGACAGTAAAGAATCTGCCTGCAGTGCAGGAGACCCAGGTTCAATCGCTGGGTCCAGAAGATCACCTGGAGGAGGAAATGGCAACCCACTTCAGGATTCTTGCCTGGAGAATTCCATGGACAGAGGAGCCTGGTGGGCTATAGGCCATGAGTACTCAACTGAGCGACTAACACTCACGCACTTTGCCATGATGGTTACTAAATATTTTATATCACCTCTGGTTCCACAGATACTTCTTTCAGTTGTGGAGGTCAAGTGAGACCCCAGTAAATCCCAAGAACCTACCACACAGAGGTTAATCAGCATTCTCAGGCACTCAGAGCTGGCTGCGTGGGCATGCAACATAGAGTTACACAGGACCTGCACTTAGTTTAACGCTCTGCTGGTGCCATCTTGCATTTCTCAATGACAGGAGGCCCCATGTTTCCATTTTGCACTGGGCCCCACAAATAATGTAGCTGGTTCTGCAGGCAAAAAGACAGTGGCTGATGTAACCCAGAAAAATACTCTACTGTTTCCAATCAGATTCCACTACAATGATTTTATTCTGACTGAAGTGTCTAGAGTGTTGACTCACTTGTCTCCTGGCTGTTGAGGGGAAAGAGCTGTTCTTGAGGAAGCGGCTATATCCTGTATATGTCCAGCATGCTGGTCTTTGTCTATTCTGGCTGCTATAACAATACCAGAGACTAAGTGGTTTATAACCAGTAATTATTTCTCACAGTTCTGGTGGTTGGGAAGTCGAAGATCATGGCGCTAGCAGATTTGATGTCTGCTGAGAACAAGCTTCTTGGTTCACAGCCAGGACCGGATCTTCCTGCTGTGTCCCCACAAGGCAGGAGTGATGGAGCTCTCTAGGGTCTGGTTTATAAGGGCACTCACCCTATTCTTGAAGGCTCCACCCTCATGACCTATTAATAGTTAACTCCTCAAAACTCTACTCCCAAATACCATCACATTGGGAGTTAAGATCTCAACCTATGAATTTTGGAGGTGGACACAAATAATCAGTTTAGAGCACATGGTGTATGAAAAACACCAAACAAAAAGGGTTGAAAAAAGTCATTATTCTTAGCAAGAACATTTTCTGAGCACTTGTTCTGTGCCCAGCCTGGTGCTGGTTGTAACAGGGAAGACAAAGAGCTCTGTGCCACTGCCACCTTCAAGGAGTGCCCAGCTGGATGGGAAGGAGAGGCATATATCTCTCTGGAATACCCTTGGGATTAGCCTCATATGGGCACAGACTTGGGGTTCAGGGGTACAGAGGAGGGATTCAGAAAGGGCTTGATGGGGACTGGGCTGTCAGGAAAAGCTTAGGGTCCAAGTAGGACTCAGGTCCAGTTAAGATGCCTGGGACTTAGTAAGTGGAGGAACAGAACGGTCCAAGTCTCAGACCTGGATATGGACACATAATAACTCCCTCCTGGTGGGTCTGGCTTTTGAATCCATCAGAATAGACTGGAGTTGGGGAGTATTGCAAGTTGGGTTCTTTGCAAGCAGACATTAAGATGAGTTCAAGATATGTGTTTGTCTCCTGTGGCTGCTATAATAGTTATTCCAAAGTGGGTGGCTTAAAACAATAGAAATGTATCCTCTGAAAGTTCTGAAAACCAGAAGTTTAAGATCAGTTGCACTGGGCTAAAAAAGCAAGGTGTTGGGAAGGGTGGTCAATCACCCTCCAGACCAAGCCAGGAAGTAACTGTCTCAAAAATTCTCAGGCAGCCCAAACCTGCCCTTCCAGAAGCTTGTCTCGGCATCCTCATTGTCATGGTTGCCCCAGAGGTAGTCAAAAGGGAGACCCCCAACTGCATTGCAGTGTACCACAAAATATGACTTTCCTTGGCTCATCTTTAAATGTCAACAAAGGGACCAAAGTTGGGCAGGACAGAGGCTAAAGGGGACTTCCCAGGTGGCGCTAGTGGTAAAGGACCTGCCTGCCAATGCAGAAGACTAAGAGACTTGGGTTCGATCCCTGGGTTAGGAAGATCCCCTGGAGAAGGAAATGGTAACCCACTCCAGCATTCTTGCCTAGAGAATCCCATGGACAGAGGAGTCCGGCGGGCTACAGCCCATAGGCTTGCAAAGAGTCAGACACGACAGAAGCAACTTAGCATGCACACACAAGCCTGAAAGGGAAGGCAAGAGGAGAGCCTGGACTGGTCGCTGGAGTTCTGAAACTATCCTGGCAAGTCACTCTGCCTCCCTGGGCCTCAGTTTCCACATCTGCTGCATGAAGCCTATCACACCAGGCATTTTATCTTAAAGGTGGTGACTCAGAGGTAGGAAAGAGGAGGCCAACTGGGAGGTCTCTGAGGGTAGGGGGCAGGCAGGGAGACTGGGCAAAAATCCAAGGAACCCCCATTAATGTTTGTGGCCTGGGCAAGAGGATAAATGGAAACCCACATACCACGTGGCTAGTCATTTGAAAGGTATAAAACAAGCAAGCTGCTGAATAAAATATATTCTGTTGGCTGACCTTGAAAAAGTATTTTTAGAATGACCCATAAGGCCATGTTTGAATGAAAATTCTCAGACTCCTTAGAGTCCTGCCCTGGAGGCCGTTATGTAGAGAGACCTGGCCCTGGTCCCCTGCTATGGCTACGAAGAATGTTCTACTCACAGACCTCCTGCTCCAGGGAGCTCAACTGGCTAAGTGCCCTGCACTGTGCTTTGAAATCCATCTTTGTGGTTGGGCTAAGGCCACGCTTCCCATGGACTGTTCCCTGCAGCAGGAATATAAGGGCCGTCCATCCTTGGGAAGCTCCTCTGATGACTGGCTTTACCTCAAGGACACCCTGACAGCCCTGCTGAATCTTATGTTGGTTGAGCAGAGGGGAATCTGGGATGCTCTCACCTGATCTTCTTGCCTTCACTTGGGGGAAGGAGGCATCAGCCTTCCAGTCTGGCCTCATGGTTCTCCCTATGGTCTTTGGCTCCCCCCTCCTTTCCTCCCACACAGCCATCTTCCTCAATACAATCCTTGCCCACTTAATCCTGTCTTGAGATCTGGTTCTCAGATGATGTGGCCAAACATGTTGGCCCCCAGCCCAGCACTCTTCTCTTCTTATCCCTGCCTCCTTCCCACGCCATTAAGTGCCTCCTGTCCCCGTGTCCCCTTGGCCTGCAGTCTCCTCACCCCGTGGCAGTATGGGGAGTGTGGCAGGAGGGCTAGCACTGGGGCCGAGTCTTTCCTCCATGTCACTCTTTTGACCTCCATGGCTCTGTCTCATTTGCCCTGCCTGTGCATGCGTGCTTCTGGAACATTCTTTGTAACCAACTGGGCTGGGAGTAGGAAGTGTGTGCCCTGGGCCCTTCACATCTCTGGCATTTTTCACTAACTCAAGAGTCTTGTGGAGAAGAGAGAAAATTGAGGCTCAGAGAGGTTGAGTGAGTGTCCACACCCGGGTCTTCCAATGCCCAACCCTGGGCTCTTCTATGATGTCCCAGCTAGGGGTGGAGGGGGCAGGTAGCAGTCACACCGCCCTCTGGCCCAACTGTCCTCTGGTGGTTGGCATGTTCCTCTGTCTCTGGGACACCAAAGTGCCTTTCTCCCAATGGCTAAAAGGGAGCAGCTTCTTTCAACGATGCAGTGAGCCGAGTGGACAGTGGAAGTTCCAAGGATGTGGGTCGGCAAGGCTCCAGCCCCTCAGAACTTATCATTATACTTGCAGTCTGGGTAGCGGTAGGCGAATCTGGGGTCACAGGTTCTCAGGGGTCTCAAGATGTCCTTCAACCGGCTGGCAGCCCCAAGGACCTCTGGGTCTGGCCGGGTTCTGTCTGCACAGCGAGTGAGCTCAGCGTCAATCTCCTCCTGCATTGGGGATGGGAACTTGGCCTGGAGAAGCAGGGGCAACACCTGGCTGCACACCAGCACCAGGTTCTGCTTCTCAGGGATGGTGTCACAGGAGGGCAGCTCGGTCTGGCAGCCAGAGACCAGGCAGCTGAAGATGTCTTTATCGTCTCCTGCCCTGGAGGCTGCTTGGCTGCCTACACAAGAGATGGAAGATGTTATACATGTGATAGCCCCTGTTCCCTGGGAGGGGGGAGGTGCCCCTAATGAGAACTGCTGAGCAAAGTGGTTCAGGCTCTTAGCATCTCCAGTCCCCAGGAGGTTTAGGGTTCAGGGACACGACAGCCCCTGTTGAGAACCCTGGAGGGGGGGAGCTCCTTCTGCTAAAATAAGATGAGCTGGCCAGGGAAATGCACTTCTCTGTACCAGAACTTGGCCTTCTAATTATAAGACTCTGGGAAGACTCTTGAGAGTTCCTCAGACTGCAAGAAAATCCAACCAGTCCATCCTAAAGGAAATCATTCCTGAATATTCATTGGAAGGACTGACGCTGAAGCTGAAACTCAAATACTTTAGCCACCTGATGCGAAGAGCTGACTCATTTGAAAAGACCCTGATGCTGGTAAAGATTGAAGACAGAAGGAGAAGGGGACGACAGAGGATGAGATGGTTGGATGGTATCATGGACTCAATGGACATGAGTTTGAGCAAGCTCTGGGAGATGGTGAAGGACAGGGAAGCCTGGTGTGCTGCAGTCCCTGGGGTTGCAAAGAGTTGGACATGACTGAGTGACTGAACAACAGGTGTAAGGCAGGCATACATGCTGTGATTCTCCCATGATTACTCCTGAATTAGGGAACACTGAGGAGATTCCTGAGACCGGTTCCATTTTTTCTTTTTAAACACAAAGTTGGGAGAAAGAACAGGTAATTCAGAGTATGCCTTCAACTGATTAGCATGGGACTGACATTCAGTGAGTCACATCTCTGAATATTCTGGAATCACCCTCATTTCTTCTCATTTGATTCTTCTTAATAAAGGCAAATCAGGAAAGGAGTAAGTGTGGCTTAATTGGTCTATCTTTGTAGGCCTTCTCATATGAATAAAATCAGAAATTTGAGATTAAAATCCTCTGTCCTACTACAGGGCTCAGAATATCTGGTCACCATTAAGGACTGGGGTGTTCAAAAGGTTCTAGAACCCCGGCTGAACCTGTGCACATCATGAGAAACACAGTTCACTCATACACCTCAGTTGGTGCCATGCTTTTCAACTTGAAGACTCTTTGCGACCTCATGGACTGCAGCCCACCGGGCTCCTCTGTCCATGGGATTCTCCAGGCAAGAATACTGGAGTGGGTTGCCATGCACTTCTCCAGGGGATATTTCCTACCCAGGGATCGAACCCAGGTCTCCTGCACAGCAGGCAGATTCTTTACCATCTGAGCCACCATGGAAGCCCTTACACAAACAAAGGGACCCAAATGGATTGTGAAATGTACCAGTGATTCTGCCAGATTGTTCAGATAAAGGCTAAAAGCATTGATGGGAGAAGCTCTGAAGGGGAGCTGGATGTGGGGTGGAGGGGTTCTCTGTGTGTGAGGAGGGGCTGGGCAGGTCCCTGCACCACACAGACCATGTCGGGCAATGGCAGTGCCCACAGAGGGTGCCGCTGGGGCCATACCGCCTTGACCACCATGCAAATCTTCCTCTCCTGCATTAACAAGGTCAAGTCCAACTCTGCTTTGGCACTGGAGCAGAGACTTAAAAGGGGGAGAGGGACCCTTCCTCTTCCCAAACCTGGGCTGCTCTCAATATGATACACTGGTCAAGCCCAGTGATGTGACACCCCTCCTCCACCACCCATCACCACCCCCCCCAACTCCTGTCACCCCGACTTCCCCTCTGACAGCTGCTCAGCCAGACCCATGCTGGGTACCTTCCTGCCTGTCGATCACGCCCAGCGCGCTGGTGTCCCGGATGAACAGATGCCCATTGTTGAAGATGCCAAACATGCCTGCATCCACGTGGGTGAAGTAGAAGAAGTAGTTCAAATCATTGCTCCTCAGAGATTCCAGGACACCCAGGAGCTGGTAGGCCAGGTCGGCTGCCTGGTCTGGGGGCGCATCATAGAATTCCTGCAGCGGACTGGTGCTGGTACTGACCAGAAATCTACCACAGGAGCCCAGGTACTTGGGAAGCGGCCAACCCTCAGCGCCCGGGAAGATCTGCCAAGCCAAGAGGAGGAAAGATGAAAGGATTAGAGAGAAAAAACTCCTGGAGGCAGCTCTCTCCCTTTCTCTATCCCCCCCCCTTCTCCTCCCTCCTCTCTCTCACCAAGAGCACACAGAAAAATCAGCCTTATGTAGGTACCTACTGTCTCAAGACATCAGCAAAGCATCTCTTAACCTTGTTTATACCTCTTGGAACATGGCAATTCCTTGCTACCCCACCACCCCTTACCAGTGATTATTCTATTCTTGATGGAAGGATTCATAAAAGGAAGCTCTTCTTTCCATATGGTGGGTTATATTTCAACATAGTTGCCCCAAGTGAGGTAAGAGAGTGCCAATGCACTTGCCATGATTTTAGAGGGTATTCAGGCATCAGGGGGGCTTCCTCAATGGCTCAGTGGTAAAGAACCCGTCTTCAATGTAGGAGACACAGGAGACGTGGGTTCGATCCCTGGGTTAGGAAGATCCCCTGGAGAAGTGCATGGCAACCCACACCAGTATTCTTGCCTGGAGAATCCCATGAACAGAGGAGCCTGGTGGGCTACAGCCCATGGGGTCACAAAAGAGCCGGATATGACTGAGTTCGCACACATGCACTCAGGCGTCAGGGGAATGTGTTTATTTTCAGACTTGTATATTTGAAAAAATATGACTAGCATTTCAGATTTCACAGATATGTCTGCTTAGGAAGAGGCTATGGAGGGGAAAAGGGTCAACTTAAGACTGATTTAAAGAAAAATATTTTAAAAAATAACAGTGCAGTTAGTAAGTTCTGGGATAGGGCAAAAATTATGAAGATGACCCTTGGATAAAAAGTTTTGGGAACCACTGCACTGGCCCTGGAAGAATCTGCCTGGCTAGGATAATTACATATTCACAGAGACTCCACAACTGACTGGAATATTCTGACAGCCTAACACTGGTCCAGGGAAGCACAAAGCTCCAGCCAATTTCCTCTGTCTCCTTGTGAGGGCTCCAGGAGTATGAGATTAACATACACATTAGTATATATGTAAAACAGATATCCAACAAGGACTTGCTGTATAGCACAGGGAACGCTACTCAATATTTTGTAACAACATATAAAGGAAAAGGATCTGAAAAAGAAACACGTGTGTGTGCGTGCTCTGTCGTGCATGTGTGCATGTGTGTGTACACTCAGTCGTGTCTGACTCTTTGCAACCCCATAGTACTTCAGGCGCCTCTGTCTATGGAATTCTCCAGGCAAGAATACTGGAGTGGGTTGCCATTTCCTACTCCAGGGGATCTTCCCGATCCAGGGATTGAACCTGCATGACTTGCATCTCCTGTACTGGCAGGCGGATTCTTTACCACTGCGCTACCTGCCTATATATATATAACTGAATCACTTTGCCATATATTTGAAACTAACACAACATTATAAATTAACTATATCTCAATAAGGAAAAAAAGGAGGAGAGAATCCTGGCTTGTCTTTTTTTTCTGACTATTTATTGAGGCAGCTATATCTAGAATGGTCTTTCTTTATGGGAGAAATGACAGAAACTATAAATACTTGGCACTTTTCCTCTTATTTTCCTTCTTTAAAAAAACAAAGTCATCCCCCTTTCTGATGATGTTCTGTGGCCTCCTGCCATTTTAGCCCACTTGCCACGTTGTGAAACCTTTTCTTGTTTTCTCTGTCCATCGGGACCTCTCCCACTGTGTGCTACAGAGGAAGGTCCCCAGTCCCCTGGCAATGTCTAAATATGCAACCATGGAGTCATCTCTGTGTTTCAGGCTTGTCAGGAGCTAGGGCTGGAAGTAGTCAGATCATCTGCCTCAGCCACCAACTGTAGGACAACGAGAGAAGAAGACCTCTGAGGGTGCAGGAACCAGCAATTCCTTCTTCTCCTCTAGGATTTGAAATGCCAACATTAGTTAGTTAGTTAGTGAAGTCGCTCAGTCGTGTCTGACTCTTTGCGACCCCATGGACTGTAGCCTACCAGGCTCCTCTGTCCATGGAATTTTCCAGGCAAGAATACTGGAATGGGTTGCCATTTCCTTCTCTAGGGGACCCCATGGACTATAGAGTCCATGGAATTCTCTAGGCCAGAATACTGGAGTGGGTAGCCTTTCCCTTCTCCAGGGGGATCTTCCCAACCCAGGGATCAAACCCAGGTCTCCCGCATTGCCGACAGATTCTACCAGCTGAGCCACAAGGGAAGCCCAATGCTAACATTACCAGGTGGCTTTTAGCAGAACGGGCATGGACCCTGACATCAGACAGCTCTGGGTTTGGGTTTCATTGCTGACACTGGCTAAGGTACTGTGACCAAGTCACTTCACTGCTCTGAGCTCCACTTACCTTATGTGAAAGAGGGGACCATAGTAATATCCCTGTGGGGTTTGTCCTGAGCATTAAATGAGATCATGATGTACAACACACAATGCCAAGAAATGAGTTGTTATGTACTTAGGCATCATCCTTTGGCCAATAATATATAATTACTATATCATATATAAAAAGAATATATAATTATCTTATGTAATATCTCATAGTTATAATATATATATTATATATAATATTAGTATATAAAATATATACTATATAATAATTTATATAGAAGAAATAATTATATATTAGTATGTTATACACTAATATATATTATATAATGGTATATATTATACTATATTAGTATAATCAGGATAAAATATATTATAAATAATTATAATACAAATCATCATAATATAAAATAATAATTAATTATAAGCATTAATATTAACACACTATAAATAATTAAAATATAATAGTAATATAATATCAATCACAATATCAATATAATATACAATTATTATAATCATCAATATCACTATATTATATAATAAATAATTACAATATACTTAATAACAATACTAATCATTATTAATTGTTATGGTGCTTCTTCTTCCTCCACGCCCTCCTCCCCCTGCCCCTTCTCCCTCTCCTCTTCTTTCTCTTCTTCTCTTTCCCCTCCCTCTCTTCCTCTCCCGCTGCCTCTTATTCTTCTTCCTTTTTCTTTTCCTCCTCTCCTCTGTCTTCCTCCCTCCTTAATCTGCTACTCCCTCCCATTTCCTAGTTTCCTTTGTGCCCATTAAGTAAGTGTCCTGACTCTTGGGATCGGGGAGAAATGGGTGTCCTATAGATGTTGACTTGTTGAGAACTGTCTCTATCACTGGACTGAAAGCTGCATGAAAGCAGGGACCAGCACGCCTGCCTTGTTGACCAGTGTTCTAGAGCATCCTTACCTATTTGACCATTCCCTTTTTGACGGAGGTTTAGGTTACTTCCATCCTTGAATCTTTTCCAAGCACAGCTGCATAGCACACCTCTGAGTGGGTCATCCTTTGGTTTTTCCCCACCTCCTGAGCTTGCTCACACCTTTCCTAATCTTTAAGACACCTGGTCAAAATTGCCCTCTTCCACAAAGCCCTTCCAGGCTTTCTCTGGCCATGAAATGTCCACTCCTAGCTGTGCCCCTCCCCCCCAGCTCCCATACTTCTTTCCTCTAAAACAACAACACATTTTTACTGAGTGCCACAGAGGTTCTGTTATAACATGGACTGGTGGCCCCAAAGTGTCCAGTGATGGGAGAGAAAGCTCAACCCAGGGCCTACCCCCTCAGAGCCAGATGTGAATCCCCTCCCTGGACGGGCTTTCCAGGGCAGGGTCACTGCATACCTGTAGAAGGACAGGATGCGTGTTGACTGCTAACGTGTAGAGGAGACGCAGCTTGTCCCGGTCCGTGAAGTGGTCCATGAAAATGCTGCCAGCGTCAGCCACCTCTGCATAGCGCCGGACCACGCGATCCAGGAGTCGCTGTGATGGGCAGCGCAAGAGAGGGCTGGACAGGCCCTGCAGTGGGGCAGGAGAGATCCGGGGAGGAAGAAAAGGTGCTGAGTGCTTGTGGGGGGCTGGCAGGACCGGGTATGGGCAGGCTCTGCTGTGGGGGAGATCCCTGGGTTGCAGGGGTCAAGTGGGCCTTGGGGTGAGAAAAGACCCCTGTGGGGTATGGAGCAGAGTACCCCTAGGCAGTGGAGTGAGAGGAGCATGAGTGGGGTACACGGGTGAGAGCTGGCATTGAGGAGAAGGGACTGAAAGATCCTGGGGTCATATAGGAGAGTGCTAGGCAGGCAGTGCATCCCTAGCAAACTCCTAGTAGGAGTTTCGGAGCCTCTGTGTCTCCACAATTTTCCAACTCAGAAATTAGAAGTTTGCAGGTTAGTGTTGGAAGGGTTGGATTCAGGATTTGAACCTGTTGTGAACTGCATGTTTGCCCCTCTCTTGCACCTCATTCGTGTGTTGAAACCCTAATCCCTAATGTGATGGTATTAGGAGGTGAGGCCTTTGAGAGGTAACCAGGTCATGAGGGTGGAGCCCTCATGAATGGGATTAGTGACCTTATAAGAAGAGGCCTGAGATAACTTGCTCCCTCTCTGTTCTCCATCACCTCAAGGAGACGATGAGATGGCTGTCTGCAAACCAGGAAGAGAGACTTCACTAGGAATCAATTGGCTAGCACCTTGAGTTTGAATTTCCCAGCTTCCAGAACTGTGAGAAATACAATTTTGTTTTTAGCTCACCTAGTCTATGGTCTTCTGTTACAACACCCTAAGCTAGGACAGAACCCAATCTGATAGATGCCAACATCTAGGCCTTTTCCCCTGTGGTAGGTCTTGCCCCTCCCTCAACCTGATAAACTACCCAGGTGGAGACCATAGAAGATGATTTGAAGCTATGAGACAATCTCTTTGCTTCTGATAATCTTTTCCTACACGGCCTGAAATTCTGCCATTAAAGAAAGTCATTGTTGGGGCAGGGGTGGTGGTTAGGGTTGTGTGTGTGCGTGTGTGCTAAGTCACTTTCAGTCATGTCTGACTCTGTGTGACCCTATGGACTGTAACCTGCCAGGCTCCTCTGTCCATGGGATTCTCTAGGCAAGAAATACTGGAGTGGGTTGCCATGCCTTCCTCCAGGGAATCTTTCCAATCCAGGAATCGAACCCGTGTCTCTTATGTGTCCTGCATTGGCAGGCGGGTTCTTTACCACTGAGCCACCTGAAAAACCTGGTGGTTAGGGTTAGAGGTAAGTAATTTCTTCTCTTTTCCAAGAGCTGATTCGTAAATAAAAAATACTTCTGGGAGAGGTATTGGCCATAAAACAATGATAATAGTAGGTAATAATTATTGAGTGCTTACTATAAAACAGGAGCTGTTCTAAGATTCTCACAGGTAGTATGTTCTTTCATTTCCTTCTTCCAAGAACCTAATAAGGTAGGTACTACTATTGCTCCCAATTTGTGGATGGCAATACAGAGATTTAGAGAGATTAAGTGAGTTTCCTCAGGTCACACATACCTAGTATTTGTACTAAGACAGACAGTACACCAGGTGAGAGGTAGGTAGGTGGAGCCAGGTAGGACCTGCATCCTTATCTTTACTGGGTTTGTAACTCTGTATTTGAGTAAGCTCAGAACACTCATTCATTCATTCACCTACCAATGTTTGCAGAGAATCCACCAAAGACCAGGCTGTATTCTAGGCACTGCGGATATAATGGGGACCACAGCAGACACTGCCCTTCCAGGCCTGTCAACTGGGCAGTTGACAGTTGTTAGTTTCTCAGTCGTGTCCTACTCTCTGTGACCCCCATGGACTGTAGCCCACCAAGCTCCTCTGTCCATGGAATTCTCCAGGCAACAATACTGGAGTGGGTTGCCATTTCCTTCTCCAGGGGATCTTCCTGACTCAGGGATCGAACCCAGTCTCCTGCATTGCAGGCAGATTCTTTATCATCTGAGCCACCAAGTGGACGAGACCATCAAAGGCCCAGCAGTTACTATATGGTGCAGGGAGTGCTAATGACCGGCCTGAAGTCAGGGATCTGTGGGAGCCCATGGGTGCAGGGCCACACTAAAACTTTTGGAGGTGTTGGTACAAAATCCTTTGTTTTCATGGGCCCCTTCCTCCATAAAAAATGCTTAAAATGATATTTTACAACTGCATTGGTATAAAGACAAATCCATTAATATTATACATTCAAACATGTTCTTAGACCTAAAAGATTATTTTTCTTCTGATTTTGAAAGAAATCAAAACATATTTGTGGGCCCCTCAAAGGCTTCTTGGAAGACAGTGAAGTCTGAGTGGAGGCCTGAAGCAAGCGTAGAGTGAGCCTGCAAAGAAGGGGGGAGGTTATCTGTGCAGAAGGAACAAGATGTACAAAAACCTTAGTGATGCTATGACTGCATGGAATAAAGATTCCATTCTTGGAATTGCCAAGAAATTTTTTTTCGCACTTTAAAAACTTTATTTATTTAAAGAAATTCATTTTTTTAATTTATTTTTTTTAATCGAAGGATAATTGCTTTATAATATTAGGTTGATTTCTGCCATACAACAACACGAATTAGCCATAGGTATATGGAGAGAATAGCATGGAAGTATATACACTAACATAAGTAAAATAGATAGCCAGTGGAAATTTGTTGTATGACTCAGGGCACTCAAACTGGGGCTCTGTAACAACCTAGAGGGGTGGGAAAGGGTGGGAAGTGGGAGGAAAGAAATTCATTAGCTTTTAAAAGCATTACCAAGAGAGAAAGAAAAAGAGAAAAGGTTTGGAGCAGAAGACAAACCCCTTAGTAGTGTTTGGTGGGAAGGTGGGATTTTTGGTTCTCTGAAATTGAATGTTTATTGTTTTTATAAATGAAAAGCAAAAAAACAAAACAGTTAAAGGTCCCCAAAAGCCCACGGCTGTTCTATTACCCACACTCGACTGACAAAAAGAGTACCAGGAAAGAGCAGAAGACAAGAGAAACCAAGAGTGGAGCTAGGTCCTGGAGGGGGGTGATTTCCCCTGTGCAGAACACTCATAGAGGAAAAGGCTCATTTTTGCCAGAAAAGGAGTAGAAAGGAATATGAGGGGGAAAGGGGATAAATGAGGAATTTTAATGCATAGGGAAAGGGGAGTGATGGATTGTACAATAAATAGAAACTTTTGAGAAAGGCCCTTAAAAGGAGTGGGCATATTTTTCCTTACTCCTTTTTCTTTTCCTGACTGTGGAAGTGATGGCTGGTGCTTGTGCAGCCATTTTGGACCAGGGCACACTAAGGGTTGTGGAGCATCAAAATGAAAGTAGGCTGAATGCCTGACAATCACAGAGCCATTATATCTGCCCTGGACAGCTATGTATCCATTTCCCTTATGTAAAAGAAATGCATATTTTGATCTTGTTTAAGCCACTGTTACTTGGATTTTTCTCACATGCAGCTGAACCTAGTCCTAAATATCATCGAAGAAAAGAATGGAGGTAGCAAGGTCAGTTAAGAATGTGCAGTGGTCCAGTTGTGTGATGAGAGAATGAAAAGATTTGAAGGTATTTGTAGGTAGTAGAATCTACAACTCTTGGTGATTGGCTGAGTGGGAGAGGGAGGTCAAAGAAAAGGGAGGTGTCAGAGTTAGTAGTCAACATGAGAGTGGACACTGGAGGTATTGTTTGTGGAGATGATTTTAAAACATGTTCACAAACTCTTAGACATGTCTCCCATCCAGGTGGAGTCTAGTTCTCCTCCCCTGGAGTATGGACTGGCTTTGGTGACTCACTTCCAGTGACTGGAAAGTTTATGGGAGTGATGCTATATGGTTTCTGAGCCTTGGCCATAAAAGGAGATACAACTTCCACTTGGCTCTCTCTTGTACCCAACCACCATGCTGTACAGAAACCCAGGCTACTTGGAGAAAAAGCAAGATCCTTAACCCTCATTCAGCTGAGTAACTAGTTGACAGCCAGCTCAACTTGCCAGAGAAGTGACTGAGCCATGTTGGGAATGGCTCCTCCAATGCTGTATTAAGCATCCTAGTTGATGCTGTGTGGGGCTTCGGGAGTTTTCCTACCAAGCCCTACCCAAATTGAATATTCATGAGGAAAACTGATGATTGCTATTGTTTTAAGCCCCTAATTTTGAAGGGGGTCATTATCCAGCAATAAATAACTGATATATTTGCTGAAAAGGTTCAGGGCCACTTCTAGAATTATCACCAAAATAGGCTCTAAAACCATCTGGTACCCCAATCTCCCTTAAAGGTGGAGGCAGCTGCTTCCCAAGGTCCCACTTACAGAGTGGGGCTCTGTAAACTTCTGTTTGTTGTGTGGTGAACAAGTGCAAGCCCACAGTGATATTGGCCAATGGCAAACAGAAGTAGGACACTAAACATTTCCAATAAAATAATGACTTATTATTCCAAGTCACTACTCCACTCTCTATACATGGGCAACAGGGCTAACACATCACCTTCCAGTGAAAGACAAAAAGAAAACCAAACCCTGAGCTTCTGTTGCCCCTCCCTCCTTATGCCCAGTTTCCTCATCCTTGTATTTCCTGTTTGGTGCCATTGGTAGGTCAGGGTCTTCATGGTGCAGTGATACTGACCAGGCTTTTGTTCTGCTGCATTGTCACTTTACAGGGACCTTCAGTGCAAGGTGGTACTGAGTGATTGTCAAGCTTCTCTACCACAGTCCCTAACAGTCTATAAAAGAATCAATGAAATAGAATGGGTATATCATTGTGATGGTCAGTTTTATGTGTCAACTTGGCTAGGCTGTGGTGCCCAGTTATTCAATCAAACACTAATCTAGGTGTTGCTGTGAAGAAACTTTGTACAGGAGGTTAACATCTACAGTCAGTTGACTTAAAGGAGGTGAGATTATATTTGATAATGTGAATGGGCCTGATCCAAGAAGTTGAAAGGCCTTAAGGGCAAAACTAAGGTTTCCTTGAAAAGGAAGAAATTCCACTTGTGGACTATATCATCAGGTCCTGCACAAGGATCTCCAGTCTGCTGGCCTGTCCTAT